TTGTGTGTGTTTGTGTGTGTGTGTGTGTGTGTGTGTGTGTGTGTGTGTGTGTGTGTGTGACAAGATATGAAGCTATGAATATGAAATTCAGCCATATGAGACTCTGGATAAATGGTTCTCTTAATTGAAATGTCATTGTTTCAGCTGGAGCAGGAGCTGGCCAAGAAACTTGAGGAATATCAAGGTTAGTCTGTCCTCCTGGAATAAGATATTGATTCTCTCTATTGACTCAACATGGCATCTGAATGCTCTCTGCGGTGCGTTATTTCAGCTACACTAAGCATTTCAAAATTTTTCCAGTGATTATGAATGGCAAATTCCCTTGTGGTTTGGAGTGCCCATTTTACTGACAGCAGCTGTTTCCATAAATGTCTCCATATATTAGGACTATATGTTATTACTTGACTTTCCATTAGCATACGTAATCTGAACACACTCTACCAGGGAATTCATGTTGCATGCTAAAATATTTTTTCATATGAAAAATCAAACTGTCAATCAGAGACATCAGGCTTATGTGTATGTGTCTGGATGTTGTCTGCAGGTGAGATCAACTCATACCGCGATGAGATTGAGACACAGCTGGCAGCGAGCAGCAGAACCAAACTGAGAGGGATTTATGCCTCCTACGCAAGAGAAGGTAGATCAAATCAAGTGCTTTGCATGTTTATTTAGTACACCTAGGCACATCTGAGCACAGTTCGCTGATGACATTTGTTCTTAATGGTGCCATAGAATGCATTGATACAATATTTTAAATTGTTATCTGATATCTACATAGAAGGTATGTGGCTTAGGTAAGGGCAAAAAATCTCCATAAACGGGTTTACATTTTTACATTTACAACCCTAGGATTTGTCCCTAGAATGAAATGGTCTGTTTTTACCTTATTTGTAAGGGTCATGAATAATAATGTTGAGCTCTGCTCTGATTGGCTGTTTCACAGTGCGGCTCATTTCAGTAGCTCACACAGCAGGAAGGAAACACAGGGAAAATATATATTTAAATACTGTCTCTCACAGTTATATTGTTGGGTAATTATACTGTAAAAAAAAATGCGGGCATCAGGGAGCCGCTATTAATATGCAGGGCATTGAAACATCATTGAATGCACGATCGCGTTTTACTTTCACTTTCGAGATTTGCAATCGCATGTGCTCTGTGTAAACTACAGCGGCAGTACTTACCACACATTTTACAAGATCAGATGCTTGTCAGTGGTGCTCAGGATCTGTAAATCATTCACCATCATCCTCAGTCATCTCTCCTTACTCTGTTTATGTGGTAAGTGAAATCTTGTGTACTGTAATGTAACAGGCTACCGCTAGCAAGCAGCTAACCATGTCCCTTTAGTGGCTCGTTATTTGTTTTCCGTCCCTTTCTGAATACAGACACCAACCCATTCGTGCACATGACATCCCCTGCACAGCCTGGAACATAACATTTATTTCCATGATCTGCCATTTTCGCTATTATCCTCGTTTGTTTCTTCACAATACCTGCAGAACTTCTGATGATTCAGCTGTGCAGGTTCGGCTGGCGGCTGGCATAGAACATGGGCGGGGATATGCAAATGTTGGGGGTGTAAATATTAGTGATCCCGACTGTAACGTCACAGTCGGTGTTATGTTCTGATTCGCCTATTTTTCAGTGGTCTTTTGCATGCACGAGATTTACATAAGAAGGAGGAAACAATGGTGTTTGAGGCTCACGGTATGTCATTTCCTTGTACAGAACTGTTATTATTCAACTATGCCAAGGTAAATACAGTTTTCCATTCTATGGCACCTTTAATAGAGATTATTGTCTGGTTTTATGCTGATTCACATGCAGATATTGGTTTTTGATTCATGCTGTAACACCCTTTCAGATGATGACTGTGTGTCTTTGGCCTCTGGGATGACTGGAGAAGAAGACCCAAAGGATGAGGAAATGGAGGCAGCAGCTCAACATCTCAACCAGGAGTTCATCAGTCAGGTGCTTGAACAGGGAAACCAGGGAGGAATGGAGGATCAGGAGGGGAGTAGGGATACAGTACCGCTCTCCACTCAGGCCACACATGTGCCTCTGACAGCGCTCCTCGGCCCTTTACCCAGTGCAGCCAGTCTTGGTCTAACAGACTCCATTCGGGAATGCATCACAGACGAGGACACAACAAACGGTAAGTGTGCCACTTCCTCAGTACAGTATGATGTTGTCTTTGGCCAAACAAAGCATTCATTACAAAATACTGCATCTTTCTTTGCTGTTTTATGTGAGGAATTGTGGCCTTCTACTGTAGACGCTCAAATTTCAGCATTCCCTTTTTTACGAGTGATGGTGCCTTTTCTGATAAAATTTGTTAAGTTAGTCATTAGTAGCTCTAGATCAGTGGTTCTCAACCGTTTTGACTCAAAGACTCCCAAGACATTATTCAGACCCATTTATCTAAACTGATGAGTACCTCTGGTAATAAAATAAATAAATAATGTAATTTATAATTAATTTATTACTAACAAAATCTCAAAAATATGATGTCAGTTTGATGTTGTTCATCTTTTTTTTTTAGTGTTTTTAGTTAAATTAATTAAAGGAATAGTTGACCCAAAATTGAAAATTAAAAAAAAACACGTTGTTCCAAACCCATAAGACCTTCTTTCATCTTCAGAACACAAATTAAGATATTTTTGATGAAATCCGAGAGCTTTCTGACCCTCCATAGACAGCAACATAACTACCACCTTCAAGGCCCAGAAAGGTAGTAAGGACATCATTAAAATAGCCCATGTGACATCAGGGGTTCAATCATAATGTTATGAAGCCATAAGAGAACTTTTTGTGTGCAAAGAAAATAAAAATAACGACTTTATTCAACAATTTCTTCTCTTCCTTGTCTTTGACGCATGTTCACAAGAGTACTACTACGCATGCGTGTGCATTCCTCTGCTTGCGCAGTGCATCCAGGTTCTACGTCAGAACATGCATACGTGGTACTGTCGTGAATATGCGTCAAAGACTGACAGGGAAGAGAAAAAAGTTGTTGAATAAAGTTGTTCTTTTTGTTTTATTTGCACACAAAAATTATTCTCGTAGCTTCATAAAAGTAAGGTTGAACCACTGATGTCACATGGATTATTTTAACGATGTTCTTACTACCTTTCTGGGCCTTGAACATGTCAGTTGCATTGTTGTCTATGCAGAATCAGAAAGCTCTCGGATTTCATCAAAAATATTGTCATACTAATGTCATCATAAAAATATCTTTCTGTTCTGAAGATGACTGAAGGTCTTACAGGTTTGGAACGACATGAGGGTGAGTAATTTATGACAGAATTTTAATTTTTGGGTAAACTATCCCTTTAAGATTATATTAATATATTCATTTAAATACTTATATGACAGATTAAATAATTTTAACCTTTTTCACATTTTCTGTAGCCATTTTAAGGGGAAATGTGATTAGGGCTCAAAGTACAAGGGTTCCCATACTACTGGAAAACTTGGAAATATCAGGGAGTTTGTGAGTTTGACTTCTAGGCCTGGAAAAGTTACAGCGATTACTAAATTCTTAAAAGGCCATGGAAAATAGACTAAATGAATTCTGGTCACAGATGACTGAAAAATTCTTGGAAATTTAGAGGTCAGGAATCATGTATGATTATTTGTAGCTGCATGCTGATCAGATCAGCCACAATATTTAAATTCATCACAAAAGCAAAACAGACTATTCTGTAGTTATAGAATTTTGCAGCATTTATTGTAAATTATTTATCAGTGCATATCATGATTTTTTTATTTTTAACTTGTTCCCCTGTAATCTTCAATTAAAAACAATAACCGGTAGCCAAGATGAGTGGCCATTCTGGCCAATAGTGGTTCAATAGGCAGCCAAGTTTCAGTCCCTCCCCTCCAGCAACCTGTCACTCATATGATACGATTGCAATCCAATCAATTCCCGGTGGACAATATAAAGTCCCGTCTTACTTTTTTTTCTCATTTGGCTTTAATACAATAAAAAGTATGGGTCTAGAAATCTATATCTTATGAATGATTTTAATTGCTTAATTAACTATTTCATAGTTCATTTTATATTATTAATAATATTTTATCCCATTTTTATGAGTCCAAACTCTTGTGGTCCATTTGTCTATTGAAACGAAATATTTCCTGAATATATCAAGCACAATTTGTTCTTCAAAGCCACTGGGTTTCTTTGTTATAAGTAGGAAGTGTGGTGAATGTTTAATCTTTAGGAAAGCTTTAACCCTTTGCTATTGTGAAAGTCAGCGCTCCGATGGAGGGTCTGCCAGACATAATCACTTAGAGCTTTTTGAAATCCTTTTAAGACATTTAATAAGAGCTGCTCCAATCTGTCTGCTTCATGCTGTACAGCAGAGCAAAAGCCACAGATGTACTTTTTCATTATAGTGTTTTTATGCTGATCTCATTTCAGTTTATAGAGAGCATATGATTTCAGAGACGGGAAACGTATGGAGCTTTACTCCGAGGCTATTAAATGCTGTCCTGTTTTACTTGCACAGATGACTGTATTTGTTATTTGACTGTCATTCAACATGAGTGGGTTCAGTTAAAAACAATACACTACTGTTCAAATATTTCTTATTCTCCCTAAGGCTGCTTTTATTTGATCAAAAATACTATAAAAACTGTAATATTGCGAAATAGTATTACAAATGAAAATAACTGTTTTCTATATTAATATATTTTAAAATGTCATTCCTGTGATGGCAAAGCTGAATTTTCAGCATCATTACTCCAGTCTTCAGTGTCACATGATCCTTCAGAAATCATTCTAATATGCTGATTTGCTGCTCAAGAAACATTCACTATTATTATCAACTTGTGCTGCTTAATCTTTTTGTGAAAAACTTTGATAAATATAAAGTTTATTTATTTATATAACTATGTAAAAGTCTTTACTGTCAACTTTAAGCAATTTAATGCGTCCTTGGTGAATAAAAGTATTAATTTCTTTCAAAAAAAAAAACTTTTGAATGTTTGCGTGGTTAAGCAGTATTGATCCACAAACCATCTTTTGGTCAGGATGCATTGATTGATGTGGCTATCTGCAACAGATTTCTTTATTTACCAAGAGCTTTAGATTACTGAAATTCATCAAAGACCACTCTGAAAGTAAAATGTCACAGGACCCAACAGAATATCACAAGATCTGCCCAGCAATACTTCTCTGACCTCAGCACCTGCTCGCTAGCTGAACTCGGGCCGTTCCCTTTTAACCTTTGACCCTGACCCCTGACGACTCCTCGACCTAGGTGTTCCCTGCAGCTCTGAGTGACGAGGAGCAGTGGTTTATCTGGACGCAGCATATGTCTCTTGAGGCCAGTCTAGGAGATCGGAGCTGAGCTGCTTTATTTTAAAGCAGTTCAGACTGTGATTTGCTGTCTGAGCAGCTTTGTGTGGACTATTTCTGCTATGACAGTTTGCTGATACATTTCCTTCGTCATCATTGTACTTTTGCACAAGAAGGTGATGATTCTGCAGGAGTGAAAGCTTCTTAGAGTCGCTCATACAGACGGCTTTATGGGGTTCCTCTCAGCATGGATGACTCTCACTGCTCACAACAATACATACAGCAGACTATGAAGGCCAAAGATGCATCGCTGGTCACTCTGAATGTTGGGTTGAGAATATGTGTTTGTGTGTGCACTGAAAGATGAAGAAAAACAGTGCAAGAAATAAAGAGAGTTATTGGAATTTTTTAAGCAAAAACCAGAATGTAGAATTCAAATTGGCTCTCAACAAAGCACAAAAAACTATGAAAAAAATTGCTTATTAAAATAAAATTTTTCTACAGCTATGAATTAGAATTTTATTTTATTTTTTGAAGGCCATGAGGATGTCAAAATGAATATTATTTATAGATATGAGCCAAATTACAATTTTATTTTATTTTATGTCACAAGGATGCTGGAGCCTATCTTAGCATCTGGGGCCTCAGGCAAGGAAACACCTTGTATAGTTGGCCAGTCCTGTTTTTTATTGTATTTTATTGTAAGTAAATTGTAAGTATTATCACTTTATAAGTATCTATAATCGTATTATCAGCAGGCATATTTCAGTGTAGCAGGGCCTGAAATGCAGGCACTGAAAGTGCAAAAAGCTGAATTTTTAAACTGCTGCAGTATGCAGGTCTGCATAAATTTTGTGTTATCTAAATAGGGAACACATGAGACCGACAGAAACAAAGTGAGAGTGAGTGAGAGAGGTAGAAAGCAAGTGACCAAGAATGTGTGTGTGTGTGTGTGTGTGTGTGTGTGTGTGTGTGTCCGTGTATGTGTGTGAGGTCTGACAGATGCCTCTCTCACTCTTGACAGGCTGTCGGTACTGAAGTGTCTCACTCTTTCAGACTGTCTGTCTCTTCAGTTCTCTTGGGATACATGAGATTCACTCTCTCTCTCGTTCTCTTACTTTCGCTGCAGTGAAGGGAGCGACTGGCCAATTCTATAACCTCCTTTCCATCAATAGCTTCTGTTTCACACAGGTTCGCTTCCCATCGGCGCACCAGTTTTAACCCAGAAATCTCCCTCAAGAGGCATCTAAGGAGTCCCGCTTATTTAATCAATCTATATTTTTCCAGACCAGCAATTGCAGTGAAATATGAATTTTATCTGATGATGATAAAGGGGTTTGGGAGTCCATTATCAATTTTTGTTTTTCACTATTCAATATATTCCAACCCCATACAGAGCTGGCCACCAGATCCTGGGTAATGCATTTCAGATTGACTCTGTGTGTGCGTGTGCGTGAGAGTGAGAGAATGAAAAGATAAAAATACGGGAAGGATTTTCCCTTGGGCTTGCTGTGGTTTTATGAACCTTGTTTGAACTTTGCCATTTCAAATGCCAGGCATTAGCCAACATATCCACGACTGAGAGAAGACAGGAACTTTCCTCAAAGGAGAGGCTTGCCTGTTCTTACAAAGCTTCCTGTGACCCTCCCTTTCCTGAATCTCTTTGAAATCAGGATATTGTGATGCTCTGGTTTGATGAGCAGCTTGCAGCATTAAGAATCTCCCAAAAAAAACAGTACCGGCATCACAGGTTTACAGAGAGCGTTGACCACTCCACTTTAAAAAGAATCTCAATTTCCCCAGCATGGACAACACGTGTTTTTCATCAAATTTTCCAAATGACTCTGAATCATCAGTGAGTACTGTTACTGTTTTGGAACCAAGCATTTAGCACACATGCTTTCATATGGTGACCTATGGTGCTCATGTAGGCGAAACAGTTTGTATCCAGCTTGTGACATTTACCAATCCCATTCCCCATTTCTTTTCTTTGCTATGTAAGTGGAAAAAGGCACATATTGCACTTAATATAAAAAAGCACATATTGATCTTATTGAAGACAGTTATGTGACTCTATAGGTTTAAATCCACTTAGTATGTGTCACACTAATGATTTTATAATGAGCATACTAATGAGTTTCCTCATCCCCTCATGGACTTATGTGAATGGGCTGTTCACACACAATCCATTCCTACTTAGGGGAGTATAATATTGATATCATAGTGGTTATCAGCCATTATTCGTTATCAGCCATTATTAGTTTCTTTCTGTGTATTGGTTGATATTTGTATATTTAATTGTACGTTGTACAATCTGTGTATTTAGATTGCCTTTCTTGCAGTGTTGTTATTGTTAATTTAAACAAAGCTGAAATAAAATATAAATATTAGATGAAAAACTTAGAAAAAATAGAAATGTTGCCTTTACAACTGACTTCAGTTGAAGTGTTAAAATTACTAAAGCTGAAATAAAAATAGATTAAAGCTGAATAGAAATATTTAAAAACTAATGAAAACAAAAGCAAATTTACTAAAAATTAAACTAAAATGAAAATTTAACAATAAAAGTATCAAAAAGTACTGTAATAATAGATAACTAACACTTTTATTATTTTGTCTAGCAAATCACAGGTTTTAGTTATAATATAATGACTTCTACAAATCTACAAACATTCGTTCTTTCAATTTCAAAATGCAAATGTTGCTCCCAATATTCATTCATCTCTGTGGCATTTCACAGTGGAGCATCAAACTGATCTGTTTATTTGCATAATGATTCATATGATTCATTATGTAATCTGGATTATGCTCAGTCAAGTGCATACTCATATTAGAGGCTCGTTCCTCATTGAAATATGTTGGAGCATATTGCATTATGAGCATTTAATCATGTTTTGCGTTCTTAATATCATCATACAAACAATGTGCCACATTTTCGAATAAAGCAAAGGCCCAAAAATGAGTAGTCTTCAATAATTTTCTCACCTTCATGTTGTGGCTAACCCTGTTCCTCTCTCTGTGGAACACAAAAGGAGAATTTTGAGGGATTGTCACACAGCTTTTTTTGCATACTCATTGACCCTTCGCAAAGACCCACCCCCCTTCGTTACTGGTGCTATGTCCGCTCTCACACTACACATCATGTTCTCACGCATGATGATTGGTCAAATCGCCTGTCAATCAAACTCCCTGAGAAAAATACAAAATGATAAATGGCATCTCAAAAGTTGAGACTCTTTCGTTTTTGTGAAGCCAGATTTCAAATCAAATATGGTGCCACAGGTTGGACGTCAATAATATCAAATCATTGGATTGCACGTGTCTCATGAACAAACGTCGTATTTGATTTGAGAATTAGTAATGACTTAAATTTCAGTTTATTCATCACATAGCTACTTTGAAATTCATAAGTACTAATTTTTAAAAACTTTTTGGTACTTGGATTTTTTTTACATTTATTTATTTAATTATTTATTTATTTATGGAGTTTAACACATTGCTTCGTACTGTTGTGGTAGTTTAGAGCTATTGAATGAAAAACAGAGAGTTTAAATTATTAATATATTCTTATTTCTTTCTTGCCATTCAGATGCGAAGACAATTTGAGATAAATTGGATGTTTATTGTTCGACAAAAGCTGCATTATGCCATTCTAATAGGAATTGGGAGTTTCATGGGAGGGCAAAAAAGTTCCCCATGCAGACTGAGCTCATGTTCAAGTTGGACATGCAAATTCAACACACTGACCAACAGAAATCTGCTTAGTTTGAAAGTGACTTCTGTGTTATATATCTGTATTCTGTTGACAATTTATTTTACAATTGACCTTTTTTTGTTGGCTACAAAATTGAGCTAAAATTGGTGACTTGAAGCTGTATGCTATTTGTTGGTTGTATAGCTTAGTCTGTGTGACCTTTGAGTGACTACTTCCACATTTTTCAACCCCCTTCGAAATTAGAGCTCCTTGTGAGAGGCTACCGTCATATATCCAACCCCAATCTGCCACACGCCAGCCTTCTAAAGAGCAGAAACCTGATCGCGGCATGTTGTTTTTCTTTCTCCCTTCTATCCAAGCCGGCTGTGCAATCGCTCTGGGGAAACGATGTGATTTGCTCCACTGGGTTTGATATGTGACAGCCACTCCAAGCTGCCTGCAAACAAGCCCAATTCCCTCATAGACCAGTGTGCCCATGTTGGTCCATGCCTGAGCAAGTATCCTATCTCCATCTTATGGACGAAATACCTGGATTCAGTTACAGTCCTGCTAAAGATTTAGAATTCACCTACCCGTTGAAAACCAGGTGTTAGAGGAGCAGGCAATTGGAGATAGTAGAAGGTGTAATAGACGGTGTGAAGAAGGTAGTGAGAGCAACCACAAACATTTCATATGAGACTGGCCTTTGACTGAAACCATGTGACAAAGAAATTGTGAATTAGGACATTTGTACACAATTGCTTGACCCACACAGCACCCAGATTACAAACCACAGTCTTCAAGGGGAGAATAGATTTACCTTCCAATATCTGTGCCATTGAACTGAATGTGTTGTTATTAAGGACGCTAGTTATAAATTTGTCAACAGTTTAGATTTTTAAGGGGTCTTTAAACTATTTCATACCCAGGACCTGCAAATATTATGCTCCTTTTGTTAAAATAATGTTAGATATATAAACTAAATATTTTTATTTAATAAAATTGTAAAGATTTAGATTTATTTGTTGCTTTTAAAATCTAGAATTGTCAATAGAATAAAATAATCATGATTAATTTAATGATGTCTGGTCTATAAGAGGCAATGAAACCGTAATAATATCAAATGCTTTAAAATTACTGTTTTTTTCCCCCCCCTCAAATTTTCTATGGACCCTCAAGCATTCCGGTGCTGACCCCACATTATATAATGTGGCTTGTTTTTCTTTCCTTAGCTGTTAAACTGGAGTTAGAATCCATTTTTTAGAAGGTGCCTCTGATGTTTGCATCTCAAATGATACTCAGTCAAATGATACTGGACACTACAGCCTTTGAAGTAGTGTGATGTGTCTTAAACCTCACACATGCAAGTGGAAGAATCTGAGATGGGGACAGATTGTGACCTATTTTCTTTTGTCTCAGTTCAGATATTTAAATCTGTCTCGCTGTGAGAACGTCAGAAGCGTGTGAATGTGAGTCGGATGGCCACAGTAGAGACGCCATTCAGATCTCTGTTCAATTAATGAACATCTGGTCTTGATCCACAGAGGCTCCACCAATCCAATCACACTTTTCCCAGGCCAACTTTGCAGCTCTTTATATTAGGAGAAAGAATTTTCGTCATATGAAAATCAGCTTTAAAGTCACTTACAGAGAAAGGTTTGTGTGTTGTTGTTTGCTTTAGTTCAATCCTTTGGCTAGGTTTTTAAAAAGGTTAGCTTGAATAGATCACGCAAAACTGAATACAAATGGTATTCAGAATCAGGGTGTTTCTTTTGTGTTATCTAGATAGTTTATACTTGATCCATCTTGAGTAAACACTATTGATTCTTGCATTCCAAATGTTCATATGTTTTTAATTCTCTACCCATTAGATTCTCAATTACAGGCAGAGATGCTGCTGTATTTTGTGATTGTTTTCTTTCATCGTGTCTATTTACAGCTCTCTTTTCTTGCCCTGATCACATTTATATTTATATATTCTTAAAGACACTTGCTAATTGTATTCAATAAAATGTGTTTATAACACATATTTATGTGAATCTGAGGTTACATCAGGACATTTTGTATTGTAGCATACAGTAACATTGCTGTTCATATTTGCCTCAATATGAGATTTTAATTTAGGGATTAATGAATGTGACACTGTGGATTTTAAGACAATTTGGGAAAGTGTTTGAGGAACACACAAAATCCTTTCATATCACCGCTAAGCCTATTAATGGCAATTACACAACAAAGAGCTGGCAGTGCGTGCATTATTGGGAGAACGCCACCAAAGTACTTCCTGTGTAGTGTACCATCTCTGACAGCTGCAGACTCCAGTCAAGCAGGACAATTTTCTTCAGTTTCATTCTGAAATGGGAAATTCACCTGAATAGCCTGTGCATGCTATCTGATGGGAATTGCTTCCCCAAAAATCACATAATCAGACTCCTTTGTCATCATGTTTTTCTCACTTTATTCATTTTTGTGTCTTTGTCTTTCTATAGTGGAGGATAAATCAGATAATGGGGAACTGGATCTGGATGGGATTGATGAAGAAGAAATTGAAAAGGTATGTAGTTTTATTAATGGATTTATGGATAAACTCTTATATTCACTTGACTTGCACTGCTTTTTTCTGCTAAAAATATCTAAACATCTTTACAAGAAGATACATTTACTTAAATCAAAATTCTGTTAGGTAATAAGACATAAATCTCACAAAATGTTGTTGGATTTATGCTTATGCTGAAAGCATGTGTTATGTCTTGTGTGGAAAAACAAGACAAAAATACTAATTAAGCGAAACACATTATTGCAGTGTAACACATTACTGTGTTGTTCTCTGAAAATGGAGCTTGAAACTTTTATTGAACTTTAGCAGATCATGTGAAGTTCAAAAAACTGTCTGATGTTCTGCATCCTGGATTCATAAATGATCACCTCTTAGCATTACTTATCAGCATAGGCCTGTTATCTTCTCTACAGTACATTTTGAAAGAGATAGAGGTGGAGGCCAAGACAGAGCTGTGGATGAAACAGAACGAGGAATATTTGAGGGAACAGAAAGGTAAGCGAATAGGAAAAGAAGAGCTTAATGCATTTATTAACACAAGCTCATACACTCGATCTGTGCTGACGTCAGAGGCAAGGGACTGCTCAACCACAGAGATAAAAATTCAGTGAAAGGAAGGATTTTGTTTTTAAATACTTGCACGGTGAACTGCTTCCTGCAATTTCATCCCACGACTGAACCTTGTGAGATTAAGTTAAAAAAAATAAAAAAATAAATAAATATATATATATTGACCTCCTAAAGTTAAAACATTGTATGAGTTTGTTGAGTTTTTAAAGCCCTTTATTTTTTTATTGCTTTTTGTGTCTACTCTAAAGCACTCCATTTGATAAAGCCATTGAGTCTCCCTATTTTATTTTATTTTTTTCAGAAAAAGAGGAGAGAATAGCTAAAGAGAAGGAACAAGGGACCTATAAAGAGAAGGTGAGTAAGTCGTGAGTGTGTGCGTCTGCCTGGGCTTCCCTCACATGCCGGGGTCTTCAGACACTCAGCAGCTGCAGGTCCTAGGAGACCACATACTTTCCATTTTAACTTCACTTGCTCCTCTGGTTTCACCCCAGGCTCTCAGTGTCGCTTCTCCTTAACCTGTCTGCTCTGACATCTGAACCGTGGCTCCCAGTCGGGGTTAGATTAGCCGGCCCTGCTCTGCACCTCTAATGAGGTGCCTTGAGCCTAATAGCAATTTCAGGTACAGTAGTCCACTTGCTGACTGTAAAGGTACTTGTTCCACTTTGCTACACGAGGAACACGATCAGTGGTGACTAGATCAGATGGGCTTGATAGCTTTTCCAGGCTACTAATGGGATTCTGTCACTTTGCTGTTGACAGCTGTTAGCCTGACATCATTATATCAAGGCCCAATGGGGAAAATGCACTGTTTAAATGAGACCCAGATGCCCAAAGAGATAGAAATGATACTTACTTAAGTTACCAGTATGCTTTTAGCCTTCAGAAATGTTTTTAGAAAGCGAAAGGACTCTATGAATAAGAGCCATGTAAGCACTGACTCCAATGTTTGTTTTTCACTGTAAACAACTCCTATTCCAATTTGTCTAGCCAAAGAAGCCGTCCAAGAAGCGAGAGCCGATCCTGGCCAGCACTGCGGGAGAGGCCATAGAGAAGATGCTGGAGCAGAAAAAGATCTCCAGTAAGATCAATTATGATGTTTTGCGGGACCTCAACAGCAAGGGCAGCGGGAGCAACGCCACGCAGCAAGCCGAGGATGTGCCTGCCGGTGGCTCTGGGCGCAAAAAGCTGATCCGCCGCAAGAAGCAGCCAAACAAGAGCAATCTTGGCCTCGCAAAACCTGCAAGCCTCATGGGCAAGAGGTGAGGATTGAATGAAGAGTGAATCTGTTATTTATTTGTATTTTTTTCACTTGGTTACTGTTGGCTCATGGTGCGCTTTACAACTTTTTCTGCTTTTTCACTCCCTGAAACCACTAAGTCTGTCTTTATGTAGTAACAGGGACCTGCTCCAAGTGGCAAAGAGCCTCTTTTGTTCCTCAGACAAAGGACATGATCAAAAAGGCTGTTCCTTTGCCCTTGGAGGACTACATTTCTTCTTGTCGGCCTCCAACATTTTGTCTTTGCTTTGGTCCTTTGGCTGACCTTCACAGTCATTTCTACCAGGAGAAAGCTTGTCATCAATTCAGTGCCAGGACTGTCTGTCTGCCATCACCTGGCACCCTGTAGTGCATGCTGGGAGCCTGCCCCTTCTCCAATTAATAGTCCTCCAGGGCTCTAAACGTCCCTGTGAGAGAAGTAATGAATATACGACAGACGGAGCGCAAGATCAGGACTTCTACACTTTGGCGTTGAAAGATAATTTCTCATTGTGTGATGTCTTTCCTCCAGTCCATTTCGTTAATGATAATTACTAATTTCATACTGAATAGTGAGATGATGATGAATCAGACATATGAACGCTGTCGGAGACCTCATATCCTGAAGCTTCGAAATGGCAATTTACTGACCCCTTTCTTTTCAATCTTATATTCATGAATGTGTTTGAAACAAACTATACAACTCTCACATTGCTTTTATTACCTTTGAGATTTTTGAAATCTAAATATAGTGGATATCCTGAAGATATAAAAACATAGCTGGCTAGTGTTGTCACTCTCTTTGCCTGGTGGAAATGCAATATATTTTCTTGAAATTATTATTTTTGTTACACTACCGTTCAAAACTTTGGGGCCGGTCAGATTTTTTTATGTTTTTAAAGAGAAGTCTCTAATGCTCACCAATGCTGCATTTATCAATACAAAAAATGTCATGTTTGTTACAATTTCTTTTAAAGTGTCATTTATTGTGATGGCAAGCTGAATTTTCAGAATCATTACTCCAGTCTTCAGGATCTTCATTATCTTTCAGAAATAATTCTAAGCTGATGTCTTGTTATTATCAATGCTAAAAACATTTGTGCTGTCTGCTGTGTAATATTTTTGTGTAAAATCTAATACTTTTTTTAAGGCTGTAGAATAGAATCGAATTGTTTTATACCAATGTAAAAAGAAAACTGACCCCAAAACTTTGAATGGTAGTGTACGTCTTTTTTATTTCTTTTTATTAAGTAATTTTACCCCATTTTATTCAGGAATTCCATGTTAAATTATATTTGTATGTCCTAAAAAGCCATTTCTAAATTTATTTACTTCATTTGTTAATTTAATACCAATATTTGTTCATGAAAATTCTCTAGTGTTGCAAGGCATGATGTAAGTCACTTTGCTTGAACTGTTGTTCGCCCCATCAGCTGGCAGAATAGCAGAGGCCAGTGTAAAAATATTAAATCATCATAGTCTGATGACACTGTGGAACAAATTGGACGATAAACTTGAATTTAGTTCCAGCTCCAGTTGAGAGAGCTTGTTGAAACATGGGAACATTTGTAATGAGCTGTCATGGGAGGGCAAAGAGTTTTAGTTTCATTGCCACGACTTGCAAGTAGCAACTGTCTAAGATATTTCACGCAGTACTTTTAGAGATAAATGGTTCAAAAGAGCCAGTAGCCACTTTTCTCTTCTGAATTGACTAAGTCGGCAGAAATAAATGTCTACGATTGCCCAATTGCTCATTGTTCACAATGCATGCAGTGCTCACTGTCAGAAAACTCGCACTCCCAACTGATCAAAGCACATTTCTTCAAATATATTTTCTTATATGAGCTGTTCCATAAGTCATTTTTGGGCCTGAATAGATCTATTTGTCATAGATCTATTTTTCTAGGTCCTGTTGTTATGCTTCTTCACTGCCTTGAGTAGCTGACAGACCCCTTAGACGCTCTGCTAACCAGGTAGAATTGGTAACATCCCTCCCCCTTTACCAGCCTCACACACCAGCTGCCAGATTGAACCTCTGCACGACCTCCAAACTAACAGCAACGTTGAAGCGCTCCTCCAAAAAGATAAGAAGATAATTGCCCTCCAGTTCCTATTCTTTAATTTCCTTCCCCCTTTTTTTCACCTCTTCAAACCTTTTTCCATTTCTACCCTTGTCTTTTAGTAAAGGCTTACCGTTCTTAAAACTGCTGGGATTTGCTTTTTGAATTGTAAATCTGATCTCGGTGCGCGAGGATGACCTGTCTATGCCTCTCTTCTCGACGTACCTCAGAAAAAGTGACAGCCCAACAGAACGCTTCACCTCCCAGCTCCAGCGTGTTGCCTGATCCTGTTTCTGATCCTCGTTTTACAGTAACGGCTCCCGCTTTTGAAATCAGACTCATAATTTGAGGAGCAGCATCGACCATGGGGACTTGGGAGTGAAGAAGTATATGTATTTCTGCTCTCTACCAGATCCAGTCTGGTTTTTTAGCTCCATGACAATGTGAGTGGAGACTGATTTGTAAATGTTAGCTTAAGGTCAGACGGTATGAGTTATTCCTGAGATGTGCTTTCCACCAGGCCTACACTCTCATTTATTTTGCCTGGCACATCCGGAAATGGCCAATGAGCCCGGGTGCCCTGATGCGTTTCACAGATCCCTCCCTTTCTGTTTCCACCCTAACGTTAGTCCACTTCCAACAGTATGGCTTTTTGCTTATTATTACAGCAGGCTTTCAATGTCCATACTGTTAGACCCCATCGACTTGCGTTCTAGAGGGCAGGAAACCAAGGCAACCGACTGTGGAGTGTGTCATTCGGTCCGTCTCAATGGAGCTCCTTGTCGCCAAAAACCCTTCACCACCTCCTAGCAACAAGAGCAGCAGAAGGAGTCATTTTGTTTGTTTCTAGCATGGTCACGTTGACCCAGGACCAGCGTGGAGCCGTCTGGCTGTATAGCAAAGTCGTTCGCTAAAGACTTTTGTGACAGAAAATCTCTTGTGGTAGTACTCGTAGGCCTAAGTGAGATAAGGCGGTAGGAAGGACCTCTAGGATCATCTTGTGCCTGGTTCTCGACCTCTAAGCTCGGTGAAAAGGTTTTAGGCCGGGTCTCTCAGCATGGAGGGCTCTATTGTTCGAGGATGCCATTTATCAGTGGGTTGAGATCTGTTAGTCCAGAGGATGTCTGGTGGTGGGAGTAAGGTAGCCACATCCTGCTGATGGGAATCATGTTTGATTGAGGCAAAGCAGCTGTATTGTTTCATTTAATATAGTGAGGTCATTAGAAATAACTCTGGATTTTAGAGCGGCTCTAATGAAATCACAATGATGAGGGAAGGAAATCCATAGTTGATCATAGATCTAAAAGACAACCCAAATGTTAGCGTAACTTCTGCTGTTAATAGCTGTAGTTGATCATTTTGGTGCAAACATTTTGGCTAAAAATCGATGAGACCACACTTCTTTAGCATTCTTAGTTCTATAAGTATTTTCACATTAATTTTCTCATGTGGGGGGGGGACATGAGCAAAAACGCCCAGCTCCAACTTTTTTGAAGCAAAAATCCTTGAAAATCAGAGAAAGCACAAATGTGCTAATGTCTTTCACGAGTTAATTATCACCGTGGCCCATGAAGCATTGCAAATGACAAACTACTATTGAATTATCAACATTTATTATAAAATATGTCATTTAATATATTATAAATGTAAATTAATTGCATAAATAAGTATATATAAAAATCTAAGTTGTTTGTTGGAAAGACTGATTTGACTGTCATTTGCATTTATGGGTGTGGTTCTTTGGCAACATCGACTTCTCTGATTGGTGAACCCAAGGCATTGACTGCTTCAGGATTGTGGGTAGAGAATTTGAGTGTTATCCACAATATTTCAAAAATAAAAATCTCTCAGACTCTTGCATTCTACAGATGTACATTACCCTTCAAAATTTGGGGTTTAAAATGCAGTAAAACCATATTGTGAAATAATACAATCAAAAATAACTGTTTTCTATTTGAATATATGTATATTCCTGTGATGCAAAGCTGAATTTTAAGCACCATTACTTCAGCCTTCAGTGTCACATGATCCTTCAGAAATCATTCTAATATGCTGATTTGATGCTCAAGAAACATTTTTTATTATCAATGTTGAAAACAGTTGTGTTACTTAATACTTTTATGAAAACCGATACGTTTAATTTTCAGGATTTTTTTGATGAAAAGAAATTTCAAAAGAACAGCATTTATTTGAAATTATTTATTTGACCCCAAACTGTTGAACGGAATTGTATATATAATCATAACCATCTCATATCTCATGTCTTGAAAGGTTTATGTTACTGTTAAAATATGGAGAAAATGAATGAGATTTTTACTTCCAAAACTTGCCTGTTATGCTCTATACACCTCCACACCCGTCACTCACCTCAACAGATGTTACAAGGCCAGAAATCTGCAGGTGATGCCGAGAGGCCATCTTGAAAACCTTGCGAGCTCTCTTACCTTTCCCTTCCATCTGCACTAGAGTCACAGAGGGAGGTTGACCCAGTCACAGCACACTTCTCAAGCTGTGTCAGCAGGAGTCTTCTCCCACTCATCTTCCCTGACTGACTCCAAGCCGTTAATGGAAACTGCTCTGTCTCCTGGTGGCATGGGGCAGATATGCATGTACAGATGTTATTGTGATTGCAGGTGATTAAACCTCCTGTGCACTTTCCTTGCCACTGCGAAGTTTTGATGGCTTTGTCGTACACAAAGCGCTACAGGTTTTGGGCGAAAGCTGTTACTAAGCAGCGGTCCCTTTGATGAGAAGAAAATTGCTACTTGCTCCATGGAGGCTTCGCGGCATGTCAAATTCTTCGTGTGTGATCGGTTCAGGGCGTTCTCACTCCCACACACTGTTTTGTTTGGTGGTAGGCAATGATTAAGAAGTCGCTTCAACAGTGCCATGGTTGGTGACTGTGAATAATATGAGTGTTGGAGGCGGTTTACAGGATACTTTT